CTTTGAGGGATGAACACTAACAAGATTGATAAAATCATATTGTTGCCATTTAAAGAGATCATTCTGGTTTTATTGCTTTTGTCTCACCTAAACTACCAATTTGTCCAAGATGCATGAAATTAATACCTAGGCTAACAAGATCAATGTCAGGTATAAAGAGAAGCAGAAGTGGCAGTCCCAGGACTATCACTTATTCAAATATGGGACTGAGTGGCTTGAATTGAAGTAGCAGTTTAGACAGCTTTGCTTTGGTTGTCCTGTGAACAGTGCACAGGTCTATTGGGTCTGCCTTTGCGTGAGAGCCCATACAAGTGGCTTCTGTGACAAACTGCTGGAAGATTCCCCTATGCCCAGTTGGCCAAGCCAAATGATGGTAGAACCTCTGGGATAACAATTTAAAAAGGGGAGAAAAGCCTGCACAACTGCAGCTCAAGTCAGGACTGGGAATATGTGAAACAGCTATGAAGGCATCAAGGTCAGTGAAGAAGAAGGGGAAGCAGTGCTGCAGACACCAGAGCAGGGATCCTGCAGCCTGTGGTGAAGACCCTGGTGAGGCAGCTGTGTCCCTGCAGCCCATGGGAGACCACGGGGGAGCAGGGGATGTTTGAAGGAAGCAGGTGGCTGCTCAAAAGAAGCTGTGAGCCCATGTAAAGGTCACACTCTTCCAAAGTCAGATGGGTAGATACTGCTGCGTAGCTTCTCAGCAAAAGGAAGGGGGAAGATGGTTCTGCAGCAATTTTTGTTTGTTATGCTGCTGGGGAGGGTGTTCATTGCACTTAGTGATCAAGCTGAACTAATGTTGTCCTGTGGCAGCAATTAGATCAAGATGCATCTTCAGCTTTTGTACAATGAGATTTTTGCAGTGTTGCAAATGACAAGAAAATCAATTTTCCTCCTTTCCAACCACCCCCTGCAAAGGGTTTTTGTTCTCTGTTTGACTGCAGATAAGGAGGGTTGTTTCAGTTTCTACATGATATATGAAGTCAGAAAAGGTATTGGCACATAAGTCATCCTTTGCATATAATCTCTGAAGTCGTTTTCACTGGTAATACTGCTTTTCCCTTCCTGTGTGGTGGAGTATTCTGAGCTTTCTAACATGGGGATTCTCATTTATATTGATCATTGAAATCCCCAAATTTGAACTTCTAACCAGTATTTTCTCCAAATATTAATCTCTGTTGGTGGCCACATTCCACTTCTCTAACTTACTAAAATCCTGGAATACAACACAGAGAGTCCCTGTGGCTGTCTTTGTGTTGTTTGTAGATCCCTGTATGTTAGTCCCCCTCCAGTGTAACTGCATGGAAGCTAGCCAGCCAGGAATTATATTCAGGTCCTTCTGGAACAAGCTGCTCCAGTGTGGGTCCCCCATGGGGGTCACAAGTCCTAACATGAACCTGTTCCAGCTTCTCTCTCCATAAGGCCATGGGTCCTGCAAGGAGCCTGTCCCAGCACAGGTTTGCCATGTGGCTGGACGTGTTATCTATCACAACACAGCTTTTCAGTGGCTAATTTTGTGGGAAGTTCAACAAAATTAATTTGGGGAATTACACCTGAGATGTACCTGATTTGTAGGAGAAGAACAAATTGTAATTTTCCTGTTTAACATTAACAGAAAAGAAAATCAGAATTTGGTAATAGCAGCATCCTGGGAGAGATTGTCTAGGTGGAAAAATGTTTCGCCATGCAAAATGTTACAAGTAGTGTTTGTGTGATATTATGAAGGATGGAATTTGCCTTGCTATAGTGCAATATAGGCTTGTCTGCATTTTTTCACCAAAAGTTTTGTAAGTCTAGTGGTTAGTCCTTTCCATTAAGTTAGATAAAAATGCTTAATTGATCATAACAGTCAAATGTTCTCCAACTGTAATGAATTCCTCCATGTTTACTGAGTCAGTGCTATATTGGGACAATGATGGGTATGTGACATAGCTACACAAATCACCAGGGTTTATTAAAGAAAAGTCATGTGCTTGTCTTGTATAACTGTGCACATTCATTGTATTAGAGGTGACCTGACCTTGGCTGGGATGTTTTGAGTGACTGTTGTCATCCTCTGTGAATGGACAGGAAATTTAGCGGTGCTGCTTTATTTGCAGCTTGAGTATTGTGATGGTATCACTGTCACATAGGTAATTTGAACCTCAGCTTCATTTATTTGAACTACGAACAAAAAATTCAAAATTCAGAAGTAAGGGTCAGTTCCTCTTCTGTCTGTTATTTACTCTTAATTTGAAAACTAGTTGTCCCTGAGATAGGCTGCAATAAAAACTCTCACTATAGTTATTTATAGATGAAAATATCAGGGAGCTCTACTGAACAGGATGAGTTATTCTTTATCTTTATTCAGAAAACACATGGGTTTGTATAATTGCTTTTTAAAAAACATAGGTTTTGTGACAACTATAACTGTGTACTGGATTTTAGTCATGTTTCAATTAACTGTTCAGTACCTTGTCACCATTAAATGTTGCTTAGAGATTTAAATCTGCTTCACACTTTCACCTTTTATTTGAATAGTTTTTTCCTTTTTGCCAAGAAGGACATTTTAAACTGATACTGAATACTGGCTCTGAATGGATAGATGTCTTCAATGTCTTTCATCTTTATACACTCCTATAGAATAAATGATTGTGATGCCTAAAATACTTTGCATTTTCCAGATGTTTTTATAACTTTTCTTTGCCAGTCTCTTAATATTTAAATGCCAGTCTCTTAATATTTAAATTCTGAGTTTCTTACAAAGTAGGAACAGAAGAGAGTAGGACAGGACCCATCAACAATTAATATGCCTTTCATTTTAAAAACATAGCTGCTATGGGTTGACTTTGTCTCCCATGACTGTAAGTCTCCCATGGGAGTCCTCTGTGCACCAATCAATCATACTTATTTCTTGAATAAGTAATGATAGCACACAGCCTTATCTCTCCTCATGAATGTGCATTCTTACAATAAAACCAGAAATAGAACCTAAAAATGGATCCTAAAATTCAGTTGATATCTTGAAATTTCTTAGGCAGCTCTGAGGAGAAATGTCCTGTATCCTTTAGCAGCTAACTCATTTAGATGCAGGCTACTGCTTCTGTCAGTTACTCATCTCTCTTGAGATATAAGATTACAGAACAAAGATGTAGTTTGCAACTCAATACAATTAACAAAGGCTTGGAAAAAATATTGAAATTGTGACACATCTACCTGCAGATTGCCTGGAAATGTCTTGCTCACCTTTGAGTAAGGGTTGGCATATTGAAAGTTGACATGCAAAAAAGGTTCATTCTGATGAATCAGATACCTTTGGTATCAGGGGAATTGAGAACAACAGAGCATTGAGAGGTTTTGTGTTTTTTGAAAGACTCCAAACAGGACTACAGATCAGGTCATGCCCAGGGAAGGCACACAGATTTGCAGAAGGGCACAAAGAGGAAGCTCCCTCTATATGTGCTATTTTCAGCCAGGACTTTGACATCTGAAGCTGAGTTCACATATTTGTTTGTAGAACCCATTTCTTGCTGACTGTAGAAAATTAGGAGATGCCATGCAAATGAAATTGCATTAAGAGTAGAGTTTTGTTCTGATGCATGGATTCAGTGTCTGGGAAAGTAATTTGTAGTGACAGCTTCAGTTTTCATTCTATGGCCAACCAAGAGAACAACATGCATCAATAGCAATTATTGCAATCATAAATAAGAATTCTGCTGTTTCTTTCTTACCATACATGATAACCTAATCATGGTTACCATGGTCTAGCTGAAAAAGGACCCTCCAGCAGCTGATAACAGAAATGAGGTGGCAATAATGTTCAGGTCCTAAACATCAACCTTCCTTCATAGGACTTTATGTCTGTCCTCTGTTATTTATATATTGACTGAACCCAGTCTTTTAATCACACCTACACCTCCTTCAGTGTACAGGATGAATGGGATGCTTTTCAAGTGAGATTATTACCTTTCTTTTTATCTGTAGTGCTTCATATGAGGCACTATTTCTTGTTTGATGCAGATGCTCTGGATGCTGTGCTGAATATAGATTGGTGTTCATAACACTAGAAGAAATCAATGCAGCTATAAAAACCCAAACAGTGGCCTATGAAAAAGGCTGGCCTGTTATTTCTATTGAAGGATAGGCTGTAAAAAATTGGAAAGGATCCACTGATTAACTGGATGTTGAGCTTAAAAATACTTGGACTTTACTATTTTTCTTCCTTTTCATGTTTAGAGCAGCTAGACTAACACACACATTCGCAGTGGATCCCAAATATCAAAGTAGGAAACCTGGTAATAATACCAACTTAGGAGTTATACCTGGAAATCTTGATATAAATATTTTGGCCATACATATCTGTATATATAAATGCAGAGGGGAGAGAATACAGATCTCCTGTTACTCAGCCTACTGTATTAACTAAAAAGCCATTCCAGCATCATCATTTGTTATATACCTGTTAGCTTCCACAAAAAAAAAAAAAAAATTAGGTGCCCTACAAATCTACTTTCTTCCTTTTAGGAGTCTTAGTCTGATTTATTATTTATTTAACATTTTTAGAGCAAAAATGTGGGGAAAAGATCTATTTTGAGGATGAGTAGAGTTTTATGAAGAGTGGCTGGTTTATAAAGCCTTTATATAGGCTTGTGCACAGTGGGTTATGCTAGAAAATTATATCATGTAACAGTTTATGGCCCCTATTTTCTTTTACAATTGGAAGCACTTGAAAAGAACTATTTGGTGTCCTGAAACTAGGTTTACTTTACTTCAGCTGGCAGACTGACAGAAGTGCAGAGTGACTCTATTCCAGTCCTTAACTGATCTGTTCCAGAGCTTAGCTAAATCTGGTAGTATGAAGTCATAAAATGATATTAATTAATTCAAGGTCTACATTCCACTGCTTAATAGTATTATGTTACTTTTTAAGTTTCTTGCCATTATGAGTGTTAACACTGTTACTTTATTTAATGGTTAAATATTCTATTTCCTTCAGTTCTTCTGAAAGTTTGTATCATTGCTAGTAAATTATGTCATATTTTATAAACCTGCAGTATTGTATGTTGATGCTATGTGGATGCTATGCAGACTTATGGTTAAGATGTTTCATGATTCCTTTTGACAGCTAAGCTTTTTGAGACCTTTTGCAAAGTCAGTACTGTGCACTGTATTTTGAAAACCTTGTCAACTACTGTGAAAAGGAGGTCAGCTTGACCCCACAATTTTAATCTCATGATTATCATCAGCTAGCTGAAATTTTGATTAATTCTCCAAACAATATTAACAACATGTTTTGGGGTTGATCTTCCTACACTATCCTAGTTGTAAAGAAAGGATTTAAAACAGATATAAAAATTATGACTGTGGGCAAAGGTGTTGCTTCACATTGGTTTTGATCATATCATAAAATGGAGCCTCAGATAGCTTACTTTAAAGTAAGTTGCATTCTATATTTAGTCATTAGTCAACAGTTGAAATTTATTTTAAGAGTTCAGAATTAGATTTTTATCATAAGTCTATTGATAGAAAATACCTTGGGATTTAACTACCATCCCTTTATGTGCTGCATTTAAACCTTGTGCTGCATGTAAACCTTTAAACCTTGTTGAGGTTGTCCTGTGCTATGTCAAATGCTGGTCTTGATACAAGTTCTTCTAATCACCTAGGTGAATAATTTCAGTATACACATAATTTTACCTAAAATGCACACTGAAGAAAGCTGTTTAGATCCAAGCTGTGTGTATGTTGGTTGGACCCATGGTGTGTAAACACAGTGACATTTCTGAATAAAACTGAGTGCTCCACTGAGAGGCATCAGAATGCATCTTGGTGTCACTTTGTTGGCAGTCAGAAACACAGTAGTTTTTCATTATCTGCAGATTAAAAAGAAGTTTCAGCTGATGTTGTTCACTGATGTACTTGCACTACTTCCAAATGTCCAGAAATTATTGCTTTCTATACTAATTGGGGATTCATTTAATTTCAATAATGTTTCTATCTTATTCATCCCTTTGCCAGACCTAAGTTGGGAAACCATTGCCTAATGACATTTCTAAATAGATTTTCTCTGAATAAATGTATCGTGGCTTTGGTTGCTGTCTGTATTGTGACATTTTCATTGTATTTTCAAAAGGTTGCCTGTTTCTTCCAGTGGCTAACATGAATGTTCTCCAAATTAATACGATTCCTATAATTATCAAGGTGTGATTTAGCTTGCAGAAACAGAAAAAATAATGTCAATAATATTTAAATTTATACACATATAATTTATATTTTAATGTCAACCATTATATAGAGTTCATCAATCAGTACCAAAAGAAAACATGTATTTGTAGTTACCAAGTTTATAATAGAACTTGTTTTTAAAATGGTTACAGAATTGGATGATGCTTCGACATAACACATGATTTTATAAAGCAGTTGCATTTTTCTCTTCAAAGCACACCAGCTGTACCATTTTGAAATTGTCAGAATTTTGGAAGTACAGTATAATGTACTCATGGTTTATTGCTCTTTAGCTCATCATTTTCCAATACCTTGTTATAAAGAATCCTCCTTATGTGACCACACTCTGTATATGCTGCCATCCTGTATTTGCCAAACTCTTTTATGTTGAGACGAAATGTGAAGAAATTAGTAACTTTTTCTGTGCCATTTTCTTGTCCTTTATTCATTCCTTTGTTTTTTGTGATGCAGTAGACCTACTGATTATGTCAAGCCTTCTTGTTTCTAATGTTATTCTTACAAAAAATCTCTGTTGTTAATTTAATAAAATATCTTAGTTCTTTAAAAAGTTTTAATCATTTACACCTAGTGTGTTGCTGACATGGTATAAAATACCTCATTGAGCTTTCATTTTTCTGAAGGGGAATTAACTCATCTAGTGTTTGAGTATGTGATGTTATCTTCTTTCATCAACTTCTTTTTTTTATCCAATAGTAAACAGGCCTTTGTGATCCTACATGTTTGCTCTAGTGCTGTTAAATGGTAGCAGGTAATTCTTATTACTCTCTCTTAAGTAGGTTTCTTAGTTTTGCAGAATATTGTTTTCAGACATCGTGTTCCCAAAATAGACTGGGACCTTTTATTCCTCAAGAATGTTGAAATTAATGTTGTCACTGTTGTTCATCGCTTTCATATTCTATAATTACTACTTGAACCAGCTACTCTGTATTACTTAGGACTTAACAGAGAATAATCCCTCATCTTGTGTGCTCTGGAATTAGCTGTTCCAAGAGCATTTGTTTAAGAAATCACTTCTCTAAGCCTTGTTGCATTTAGCAGAACATGAGAAGATACCTTGTAAATATATTTGCAATATGCTAAGGAGTATGTTTTCTTATAGGTATGCACTTTGAGACATAAAAATGCTACTTATGGGATTTCATTTAGGAAGGTGGTGTTCCTGTGTCACTGTATACTAAGGAAACATCATTTGCAGTGATGTATATGAAGGAATATATAGAACATAATAGGAAAAATATAAACACCACCACAGGCAGCTACGGCATAACAGCCAAACTCTTGTGAAGAAGAATAAAAGATGTCTTATTTGTCTGAAAGGTCATTTGTTTCCCAGTACAGTGATAGTGGCAATAAGGCATACCTTGCCCTGCCATTGGCTAAGCCATCAGGCCATTGTGTTGAAAACACCAAGGTCGTGGGCTCAAACCCTGTATGAGCCATCCATGTAAGAGCTGGACTCGGTGACCCTTGTGGGTCCCTTCCAACGCAGAACACTCTGTCCGATCTGTGACATTTCCTTTCCCCCGAGCCCCGCCCGGCCCGGTGTGTTTGTTCCGCCAGCCGCGATCAGCACCTCGGACAGCGCCGAGCCCGTCCCGCCGCTCCCGGGCTGCGGGGAGCGAGCGGGGGATGCTCCCGGCCCCAGAACCGCTCGGAAAGGACCGGCCGTGCTCAGTTTCTGCAGCTACCGAGAAGGAGGAACGGCAGGGCTGGCGGCTGAGTTCTGGGGTAATTGTGTACGCATACAAGAATGCCACACTCATGGAGGGATGCTGTATGTGGGGCCTTGGGGCTCCCAAAGCGTTGAGCGCCTGCTGTGGGTGAGTGATATGGGTGGAGACATCCAGAGGCCAAGGGAATGATGTGTGTCCGAGCGGGAACCATGGACAGAGCAAGGACAGAGGAAGAGATTGTTACACTACGCTGCTTCCCATTCCCATCAAGAACAGATGCCAAGTGTGTAAAATTCCCCTTGCACCCCCTGTGCATCAGCATAAGGTTAATAAACTACGACAATGAATAGTTTTCCTCTTGTAATTTTCTCTCAGGCATTGCCCCATTTTAGAGATAGTAGCAAATTCCTGAAAACTGAAGAAAATGCTGGCTGTTAGTGTGGGGCATGCAATGTGCAGCTGTTGCCCTCCTCACACTGCATGTATGTAGTTTTTCTGAGCACTGATGTGGGTTCTTCTGTTCATTACACAAAATATGAGCTGCATCTTCCAGTTAGAGACAATGTTGTTACATACTAAATTTTCTTCCTGATTGCTGATTTTTTTCTCTCTCTTCAATTTTAGTTTTGGAACAGGTGACTGAAAACAGCCTGTTTACTTTCCCCTACCAAATACTCTCTTCTAATTTCTGAGTTGCAAGTAAGACAACGAGATTAACAAATTTTTCACTGAAGTTAATACTGCACATTTGATCTCAGGAGATTCAGAATTTCACTTTAAGTGATAATCTAAGAAAAATATGTATTTATAGAGTAGAAGAAATTAAAGACCATAACTATAATTAGGGGGTTTGTACATTCATGTTTAAATATATGTTATATAGGCAGTAAATAGAAAAGGAATACATTCTTAATTTGTACCATAAAAATACTCCCACTTTCAAATGAGCTTTTGCAACATCAGAAGTAAAATATATCAGATGCCTATGTCTGCTGATAATCAATCCAATTTACAGAATGAGATTAGGCATCATTATAGACTTTTTCTCTAAGCACATTTCCCATGGGATAGCAACACAGAGCAGCCATGCAGAGTTAACATCTGATTAGAAAGAATAATTCATTTTGCAGTTCTAAGACAAGCTAGTTGGGAATTGTCCAGTCCATTTCTCTGGCCACTTACCCCTCCTGAAACTTCCAGAGAAAGTACGGCTCCTCAAGTTCCAAGGTGCTCCACCTGTTTAGGAAGCAAGTAGAAGGAGAAAAAACTGCTTATGATCTTCTGAGAGTAAGATTTGCTTTAGTTAATATATATTTTTGTCCTGGTTAGGGATTAAAGTCCTTTTCTTTAATTTGTAAAATTGTATATTTCATGGAAGGATAAGTTTCCTTGGGTGTAAGTTTCAGGCTACATTAATTTCTCTGCAAATTTCTCTTCCATTCTGTGTTGTTTTCATTAAACATGTGGGACTGAAAGCTGCATCTGAGCCTGACATCGCTCTTACACTGTCATTGTAAAAGCTTGAGAAAAATATTGTCTCTCAGTGTTTTACACTGTGAAAATATGTTAATATAAAGGTAATTAACTGGAATGCTTAAATGCATGCATTTTTACAACAGAATTATTTTTTTCTAAAACAATGAAAGGACTAATAACATATTAAGTTTATGCAAGAAAGATTTAAGAGAAAAAAAACTCCCTCTAATTAAAATGAAAATAAAGTGGCACAGGATAATGTCTCCAGTACAAACTCACTAGTTAAGAGTAAATATTTTGTGGGAGAACAGTCAATATGAGCAACAATATAGTAAAAGAGCAAAAGAAGAAATGTATTTAAAAATAAATCCTAATAAAAGAAATACGCTTAGAAAGTTAAACTTGTGCTGAAAGTAACAGGGAAAAAATCGAGTTATTTTAAATTGTCAAACCAGACAGTTACCCGGGAGCTTTTAGAACAGAATTCCACTCTACAGCACAAAGCTGTTCTCATGATCGTGTACTGTCCATTTATTTAGCCAGCACGGTACTCTATCGGGTGACAAAGCTGGGGGAAGCACGTTTTGCTGACCAAGACTCTGGACGTGGCCAGGGGCTTCCCCGGCGCTGCTGCCTCATGCGGCACGGAGAAGTCGCTTCCACGTCCGTGAGGTCGGAAAGTGGCGACTTTGCCATGTCAAACGCTTTGAGAACTCAGGCTGAAAAGTTCTGTATGGGGAAATTAGGGCTTGAAGGGGGAGTAATTTTTGTGCGGCGCATGACTCAGGCGGTGGGCTGAAAGGGTTAACTAATCGTCATTAAAAATTACAGTTGACATTTAGTTCTCGGATGGCAGGGAGCTGGCATGCCGCCG